CCTAGTCAAAATCAATTTTGTCACTTTTTTCTACGAGGGTTTATACAAATGGATTGAAACTTTGTATAAATATTCCAGTGCTTAAAAAAATTACAAATAAAACATCCTAAAATTTTTTTCAGCAAAGAACCAAGTAGGAAATACATTTTCAATTTTGGACTAGGGGCGACCCTAGTCAAAATCAATTTTGTCACTTTTTTTCTTCGAGGGTTTATACAAATGGATTGAAACTTTGTATAAATATTTTAGTGCTTAAAACAAATACAAATAAAACATCCTAAAATTTTTTTGAGCAAAGAACCAAGTAGGAAATACATTTTCAATTATGAACTTGGGGCAGGTCTAGTCAAAATCTAGTTTTTCATTTTTTTTCTTAGAAGGTTTATCCAATTACAGTGAAACTTTGTGTGAGAAATCAGTGGCTATTTAATGGTGTGGTTTTTGACTGGTATAGCTGTTGACAGAAAAAAGTTGTGTCTGCACAAAGATATTTTTCCTGGGATTTTTAAACGCTTTCAACTACACCGGTACCAAAACATCAAATTTTTAAACTTTGATATACATTAAAAGAAAGTTCTTATATAACACTTTAGGAACTGAAAACTTTTTTTCAATATCTCTAACCATTGTGGAGATTTACCAGTTCTAACTTGACATGAAAAAACCAGATTTTTCACCCTTTTTTAACTTCAAACAGCCACAGATTCGCAAAAATAGCACCAAATGACCTGAAGTTTGGCATAGAAGTCTATTTTTATGTCCTTTACAAGAAAAAATCCACTTGAGAATTTAATTCGAAACATTGCCTTTTTCGAAGTGAAAGTCCCTTTTTTTTCAATTTTGCCCCATAGTGCACTTCTCAATTCATTTTCTTATAGACTTTCTGTATAGACATCAAATTGCAGGCAATTATTGGACTATTTTTTTTCATTTCGTTGTCATTATTCGTCATAACTGAAGCCAATATCGTCTGAAAGCATTAAAGCATCATCATTTCTTGAAAAACAAACAAATTTAATTTTCATTATTTGAGAAGCTCAATTGACATACTATTTGACAGCTTGTTACTTGATGGATAATTTTATTAGCAAACTGAAATTACTTATATAATGTTGTCCAAATAAAATGCAATGAATTGATACCAAAAAGTCTTATATATGCAAAGTATTTATCAAGATTTCCTCAATTTAATGTTCTGCACTGTGAGAAAATCGACAATGAAAATAATATTTCTATAATTTTTTTGCATAATATCAACTTTTACTATAATAAACAATGTATATTCTGAAAGCTTATTAAAAATACTATATAAATCAGTTAAGTCCAACCTAATTAAGATTGAATTATATGACATATTTGCTTAAAAGTCATTAAAAATAGTAGCCATTTTGAATTTAAGAAAAATCGAGAAAACACTAGGTTTTGGTGGAAAATTTTTGAACGTAAATTAAGAAAATCGTCAGAACTTTAGATTTCCATCTTAAAAAGTTAACATAACATACTTGTTAACACATTTTTACTACGTTTTTTATTATTATTATTTTACACGCTTTTATTTAACTCACACTGTTTGTCTGAGTCAAATCTTGTAATCGATTTTACGACCACTTTCACTGCTCCAATAGAGCTCAAATTTTAAATGCACACGTATTCTCGATGACAATACAATATTTTAACACTTTGGGACCACAAAAATGCTTAATTATAATTCAATTTTAGTAAAACTTTTTTATATGGGAAAAAAATCCAATGTCAATGATATAAAATTTTGATTTGTTTAAAATATTACACTTGAAATACTCAACAGTCATTTATAAGATTCATTATAGTTTAATTAATATTACTAATTATTAATTATACTATAATTTTGAGCAGCTTAAGATTTTCTGGGAGGATGAAAAAATTGACATGTGATTTTTTCATGAATATTCGTAAGTGAAAATTTGAATTTTCAAAAAAACCGTTAAACATAAGTCCGTTGCGGATTAATGCAAAATAACTATTAATATGAGATGTGCATTTAGCACACATATTTTGAGCATAAATTTATGCTGTTTTAAATGTATTACATTATTTATAACACTTCACCAATTTAATTAAATAGACTTCTCTTTTAACGGCATGACGTATTTTTGCATAACATATAAATGACATTCATTGAATTTAAATTTGAAAATCGGTTATATGCAAATTACATAAAGATGGGATTTGCATCTTTATGTAAAGAATCCACACGTTATGTAGTAGGAATGGTCCGGATAAACACAAAATCTTTAATTGAAGTTAGGACATTTTTAAAAGAGTTTTATGTGTTTTCAGGTATGACTTAAATAATTTAAAACGAATGAAGAATTTTGACATTCTTTACTAATTATCCATTAAAAAATGGTAATCTATGAACAGTTGAACCGATTGAAGTGAAAGGTAGTGGATTCTAAAACTTCCTGTAATCTAAAAACTGTAACCTACTCATTAAGTCTGATAAATTCAGTGTTGAAATAAAACAAAAACTCCAAATTTTGGAAGTAATATCGATTCATACATTTAACACGACTAAAAAGTAGAAAATAAAATACTATAAAAAAAAACTTTTTTTTAAAAAAGCACGCTTTTATTTCCGATTACAGTGCACTAAAAAGGAGAAAATAATTTTTTTCTAAGCACTCAAATATGATACAAAATTTTATGACTAAACATAAAAGCGTGGGGCGTTCTTGCATATGTCACTAAATCTTGAATTTGTGAACGATCTCAAAATGTTAAAAGGTCTTTCGTTTACAGAAGTTGCATCAAAAAATGAAAAATTACAATATAGTGTGAATAAATTATAGAAAATCTAGAGCAGGTTTAAATTGAACGCCCCACGCTTTTATTTTTAGTCATAAAATTTTGTATCATATTTGAGTGCTTAGAAAAAAATTATTTTCTCCTTTTTAGTGCACTGTAATCGGAAATAAAAGCGTGCTTTTTTAAAAAAAAGTTTTTTTTTTATAGTATTTTGTCATTGAAAATTGTCCACACACTTTTGCACGTTATCGATTTTGAATATTTAACGGTTTTTTCAAATTACTTAATTATAGTACAAAATTTGTTTTGCATATAAAATCTCATCAAAAATTAGATATGCTGTAAAAATTTGAAGTGACTTCGTTTAGTGGAAGATACTTTTTGAACGAAATTATTAAAAAATTTGTTCTGTCCACTCACTTTTGCACGCTACTGTACGTAATGCACATATTTACATTAAAGATCAAGAAATGATGATGCTTTCAGACGATATTGGCTTCAGTTATGACGAATAATGACAACGAAGTGATAAAAAATAGTCCAATAATTGCCTGGAATTTGATGTCTATACAGCAAGTCTATAAGAAAATGAATTGAGAAGTGAACAGAAGGATAGTTTTTCCGTAAACCGCATTTTATTGTAAGCGTTCATTTAAAAGGTAGGAAAATTTATTCGTATTCCTTCGTGTCACTGACAAATTGAATTATTAAAAAAACTTCTTGTTTTTGTTTTATTATTTAAGATTTATTAAGATATATTCAGTTTTATGTTATGCGATACAAAATTTTTTACATATTTTAATCTATCCACTTAACTACATTTATGTAAAATTCTTTATCATTACTTTTCAATATAGTCATAAAATTAATTACTTTTGTCATACAGGAAGTCGGAAAATCCAGAAAAAGTTGTTGTAAATTGAGTTTCATAAATATATTAATATTTTTTTTTTGACTTTAGATTGATGCAATAACTCATATCTCGGAAATATTTGTTCATATTGACAATCATCTGAAGATTGAATGCAAATCTATTTATTTCATAGCTTAAAAGATAATTAATTAAATGTAAATGAAAAAATCAGAGTTTTAAGTTAAAGAAGTCATGCTTTTTCCATTATTATAGGAGAGAGTTTTCTTTGGTTCTATAAATTTTATTCCTACTTTCTCTTCGTACAAATAGACTTTAGCCAAGACTAGAAACTTTATTAAAGAAGCCTCAGTATAAATTGTCTTTAATGTGTGATGTGGCATTATATTATAGTATTTACATATTTATTTCTTTGAGAATGTAAATAATAATTCGTTCATTTGATGCTTTTACCCAAAAATAATAATCAAAAACAAACTTTCACTTTATTATTCACAAGAAATACCAGAATGAAATGTCATCAATATGTAAGCATTTATAAGAAATCAATATTGATGAATTTAAATGAATAAAGTGAAAATATGTGTATATAAAATAAATATGTTGTGCATTCATAGTTTTATATTTTTTATATCAAAGAATTTACCTATTTTAAAAAAGTTTTAATTTTTGTTAATTTCTATATAGGTTTTATAATTATTAAAATTCATTGAATTTATTGGCATTTTTATAACACTTGACGTCGATAGTACACATTAAAAAGACAATTTGCTTGAACATAACTGCAGAACTTTTAAGAATTATTATTCTGAGGTGAAAGATACTATTTTTGAAAAAAATGCAATAAATTTGATGTCAACATTTTTCACTTTATGCTCCCGCATGAATTAATTCTAAATAATTTAAATCATCGTCATTTTTATAATATATTCTTGTTTGTCTTCAAATAGTAAACATTGTTATTAGAAATTTATTTGTTATTTACTCTAGAGTAAGTTTTTACTTAAACTCAATATAAAAATGATTTAATAGAAACATATTGGAAATTTTATAACTCTTGATTTTTTTTTCTTGTATATCTTACTAGAATTTAAAGAAATTTTCAAAACATAAAACATTTAGCAGTTCCTGTTTGTTCAAAATTTAAAATTAATAAAAGATTAATCTATTAGTTGATTCTTTATATTCTAAGCCACAAACAATAGTTTTGAAGTAAAAAATTATTAAACCTTCATAATTATTAATCATTTTATGTGTTGTCGAGAAATGGTTAGTTAAAATAATGATTTTATGCGTAAATGTATTGTTATACTAATTTACAAAAATACTTATTGTATCAAAACGGTCAAGTAATTTATGAGATCTTCTTTAGTGTTTTTAAGAGCTCATTTCATTTAAATTTTCAGTTTATCAACAACTAAAAAGCATATTTGGAAATGCGAATCTACTTACTGCATATTTTGTGAAGATTTTTTAAGGGACAGTTATTATTAGCTTTTAATCATGTACCTCTTTGTAAGGTACCTCCGACGTAACACTAAAGCTTTCAAAGTAGTGGTTTAAAAATTCAAATGTGGGTCTTTTTTCTGGAATCGCGTCCCAGCAGTTTAACATTAAGTTATAAATGCTATCAGGTAAGTGATGATTTGTTGGTTTGGGCATCCTATAGCCTCTTTCTATTTGTTCAATGACTTCTCGACTATGCATACCGGGATACGGCACTTGTCCAAAAGTGAAAAGTTCCATAAGAAGAATACCATATGACCTATGAAAAAGAGATTTCATCTTTAGCACATTGTTAAAATGATTTTTAATTACTTCTACTTACCATACATCAGACTTTATGGAGAATTTTCCATAAACTATTGCCTCAGGAGCTGTCCACTTTACAGGGAATCTATTATTAAATAACAAACATTTTAAATCTCTCGCTTATTTTATTTAAACGTATTTTTGATATTACCTTGAACCTTGTTTAGGACAATATTCGTCATCTGCAATAACGCGAGCTAAAATACAACATCCATATATTATTTTTAGTCATTGATTGTAAAATGTTGTAAATTACCTAATCCAAAATCGCAGATTTTTGCAACATTATTTTCTCCGATCAATACATTCCTGGAAAATATCACAAAATAAAATTAGTAGCTTAAAGTATCAAAACACCCATTTTTCCCATAATCTAAGATACGGATGAAAAGTTCAAATATATGTATAGAGTTATGAGTTATTCGTAATTGATAGAATTTCTACCGAACTATTGTTTGTAAAGCAAAAATGCGTAACTTATTGAGGATTTTTTATATTGTACTAGCTAGAATGTCAAACTGACAATGTATAAAACGCTATAGCTGTATGGTGCAGAGTCATGGAACATGACTTTAGCAGATGAGAACACAATCGGTGGCTTTTAGCGGAAGGGCCCGAAGAAGGAAGGGGATTGATACAAATGCAGGAGCAATGCAGAAATTTATCAGCTATATAGAGATGTTGATATTGTAAGAAGAATCAAACAGGCTTCGATGGGCTGGACACGTTATTAGAAGATCTGTTGATAAGTTCTTCAAATCCGATTTTATAGATGGAAAGAGATCACGTGGAAGGCCAAAGAACTCATGGAAAGAGGCTGTTAATAGAGACAGTGTTGTATCTGGAATCGGCAATTGGCAGACGATGGCCAGCGATAGAGCTAGTTTTAGAAGACGATTAAGAGAGGTCATGTATCACAATTGATCTGTACGACCAGCGAAGTAAGGAAGTAAGTACTAGCTAGAATTATAACAGCATCATTGCAAGAGCTTTTTTTTTTCTTCACATCGCCAAACCGAGAAAAATGTGTTAAAAGTGTATGAAAATAAAATCAAAAGAAGAAAATTAGGTCGATTGAGAAGAGTATTGGAATAGCAATTTTGAATGTAACTTGATAACGCTGCTATGATAAATGAATGGAAACTGTATCAATTCAATATGGGCTCGAGAATGTTTTTTACCTTGCGGCTAAATCACGGTGAATTAATAGCTTTGTTTCCAAATATTCCATACCGGAAGCTATTTGCGATGCGATGTATATTAAATCCTCAAATTGCAAATAACGTCCATCGCCCTCTCGAAGAAAATCAAGCAAACTTCCTTTTCCCATATATTCTTGTACAATATAAATGGGCTCTTCTTTTGAACAAACAGCATATAAAGCTACCAAGCGATTATGACGAAATTTCTTCATTATAGCTGCTTCTTGGAGGAATGCTTGTGTAGACATTGTGCCTTCGCGTAAGGTTTTTACAGCTACTTCAATATTATTTCTCCATTTTCCGTAAAAAACTTCGCCAAAGTTTCCTCGTCCTAGTTTTCGTATGAGCTGAATTTCATTGCGATTAATCTCCCATTCATCCCTTAATGTAGGTGCAAGATCAAAAATGGTTGGTTGTGGCTTTCTACAAGGACGGGAAAGAACATGGCATAGTCCCAGAGCATTTTCTGAAGAAGAAAAAAACGATAAAATTATTTAAATAAAAATGTCAGAAATTAAAGGGAACAAAAAATTGTGTATTACTCGAATAAGCCATCACTAATGATTGTAGATTCGCAAATGTTTGATTTGTTGCTATAAAATACCCGCCGTTATCAAGAGGCTTAATTTTGTAATGTTTTACATGATAGCCTCGAGATTCTTCCCAATCCTTAACAGACAGTGAAAAACCGTTAGGATTATGTTCAGATGGTCTAATGAGGAAAGTTCCTCTTGGATTTTCTTCGGCCAGCAACAACTTATCCGCTTCTTTTCTTGAGACGTTTTCGAAGAACCAGCTTTAAGAAATAAAATAAAATAATTAAAATTAAATTAAAAACTTAAATGAATGAATGAATAAATCAGACTTACTCTTCACTATTAACACTTCTTTCTTCGGCTACAAAATTCCATGGAATCAGTCCTTCTTGTCTAGTCGTTAAATGCTAATAAATATGCAAAACATTTAGTGACAATTTCATATTAATGAGGATTTATGGATCACTTACTATTACTCTCCACCAGTCTGACTCCGTATCATCCAATACTTCCATTCGATCGCCTTTAACGAATGAAACATCCGTATCTTCCCGTGCATTGTAATTATACAAAGCAACGACTGTTCTACGATGACTTGTATTTGGGTGTGCTAAACGAAAAAAAAGTAACATGTAGTAAAAAATTTTCATAGCTTTATCATTTCGATTTAATTAAACTTACACAAATTACGAGGATTACCACTTCTTATAATATCTATACCACTTTTTGTATGCTTCACACCAAGTCTGTTATTTGGATCTGGTGTGTAACGGGAATCTAATGAGTTACTGTTATGTTTAGGATTTGACAAGTTCACGGAGAAATTTGCTTCATTCTTTTTATATCCTGTAGTAAATTCATCAGGCTGTCTTTTTGAACAACACTTATTACCCATTTTTTTAAAAACTTATTAAACTATGATGAAGAAATCTACTTTAATTCATGCAATTCACCAACATAAAATATAGTTTGCGCATTAGTATTATAAGATTGTAGCCATTTTTGAGAAAAAAATAAATCTATCTTTGCAGTTGGTTTATTCGAGTCATTCAAATTTATGAAATCATTTGAGAATTCATTCAATGTGTGAAATTCGGAATAGTAATTTATTAGTAATCTAAAAAATTTAATGTATCATTCATATTATCACTTTTTTAACAAAAAACATGACTAAACTTTCACGAAATTATTACAGATGTCTTAAGATCCCGTTCCGCTAAACTTTTCCGTACGTTTTTCATACAATTTTATTCCTTTTTGTGAGATTTTTACTTTTTATATTTTTATTAAAACTAATAAAGTTATTATTTTATTATTTGAGATATTTTTTTTTAAAAAATGGATACAAGAAAAGTCTCTCGAAAACTCAACCCTGCTAATATGCTTTGGTCGTTTTAAATTGCTTACCGTCGTTACTCATATATTCCTTGTTTTCGCCTCCTCTAACAAAGAATATCTATCGAAAGAAATTTTATTAAGTGCTTTATACCTAATAATTTTATGTGTCAGGTAGAAAATTATGTGTTAGAATACGAGTTTTTAAAATATTCTAAGGAAGAGAGTTTTTAAATTTTAAATTCCTTTTTGGACCATAATTATATGAACATAATTTAACGATTGATTCAATTCTGAATTTGCTATATAAACTACAAACATCTACACAACCACACATTAGTGATGAATAGATGAAAAACTTTTAAGAGAACGCTTTGATGTGTAGATCTACCTATAACTGCCATATGTGTACACTAATGTATAACAAGTCGGTTTTGATGAGAATCGAACCCATGACCTCAAAAGAGGCGATCTCTGACCACTCGATCAGAGATCCTTGCCACTCGACCACCGAGGTAATTATCTCACTTCGGCTATCCGTTATACACATATAACCAGTTTTAACGCGAACCCTATGCTTAGGTTTATCTACAGATATACTCTTCGAGCCATATCCACAAAGTGTAAGTCTTTTAAATTGTTGAACATTTTAAGATTCTTAAAATTTCAAAATTAATTTAATTTAATGTTTAATAACAAAAGACTTTTACAAAGTATTCATCCTTTTCTTATTTGAACCCTCCCCAAACCTCGTTCAAAAAAACTTTTATTCCTAATGATATGAATAATCAGTCAACGAGAAATGTCATTTCGATAATTCCAAGCTATGTTCTGACTTTTAACCATTGATATTCATTGTCATTCTGTAAAATAATTGTAGCTGCTTCTAATAATATTCAAGTTCGAAAAATTGGTTATATCTTTTAAAGCGAATTAAAATTGGTGTAGGCAAGAGAAGTGCAACAAAAGGAAACAATATTTGTTTACTGTTTTTAAGTCCGTCTTTATTTTATTAAAGTACTAATAATCTGTGAAAACATGATTCGGGAATGATGATTAATATATCCTCTTATTTAATATATTTTAAAGAAATTCATTAAAATCATAAAATTATTGGGAAGTGATTACATACTGCGCGCGCATACAGTTTTATTCATGACATTCATTTAGTAAAAGGGATTTGTTCAAAAATGCAGCAATTTCAAATTAAATGGAATAATCATCTGAATATATTTTCTTCAGCTCTATCGAAGGTAAATAATGTTAAAAGACATATGGCTAAGTTTAATGTAAATAATTTTAGTTTATATTTTATGCATTACTTTTCAGTATTTTCATGATAAGAAATTTTTGGATGTTATTCTGGTGGTCGAAAATGGAAATCATATGATTCAATGCCATAAAATAGTAAAATACTCATTTTAAATCTATTACAAAAACTCTTAGTCATTTAATCTAATTTAATTTTAAGGTCCTTGATGCTTGTTCACAATACTTTTCAAACATATTCAAGAGCAAATTATTAGAAGAAAAAAACATCGTAATTTGTTTACCAAAGGAAATCGAGCTATGGGAAATTCAAGCAGTTTTAAATTATATGTATAATGGAGAGGTACGCAAAATCTAAGAATATTAACAAATCATCAACCTTAATTTTTTTAAATCACTAGGTTTGTATTTCACAAGACGGTCTGAAGAGCCTTGTGAAATGTGCTGAAATTTTACAAGTCAAAGGACTCTGTGGCGTTGACTCTATATCTGAAAGGAAAATCAATTCAAATGATATTTCAGATGATGCAATTATAAAACATGAAATCAGCATAGGTATGTTAAATAAATAATACTATATTCAATAAGTTTTTTTATTATATTGGCTTGTGAATTTTTATAGACGAAGAAGAAACTGAAATTTTTGAGACTGATTGTGTGCAATCAATAGTAAAAGAAAAAGGTAATTTATCTAATTTTAAATCCAACAATGATCGACCACATTGTGCATTTAAAATTTTTTTGCAGATATCTCACAAGAAAGGACGACAGATCATGCTGTAACTTCTCACCTTAAAAACAACGAGACTGAAAATTTTCTTAGAGTGAAAAAGAACTTGTTTAACAAAGAAGAATCGATTTTAGAACGAGTCAACGTACCAAATAATAATGGTAAAACATGTTTATCAATCTTTATCTTATGTGATCAATAAATTTAATTAAATGATTCCCTTAAAGGCAACAATCTGCCATCTTCCAATAATCGAGATCAATATGATGCATTTGAGAATATTATATGCTCACCATCAATATTTATGGAAAACGATAAAGAATCTATTGATACCAAAACTGCAATTAAATTCCAAAGTAGTAAAAACGTAACGAATCCAAATGAAGATGAAGACCAAAATATGATGTACACAAATGATGTTTTATACGATCTTATCAGTAAGAAAATGACTGGCGGTAATTTAGCAACTGACACGGATGGCGATTGCAATTTGATGATATCTTCTGTAAACTCATTAAACGACGATGCAAATACAGATTCAGATGCAAAGAAATCGATAGCCGGACTTTATTTGCGAAATCCTAGAGGTTTGCATGAATCATTTGAAATTCTGTTTAATTAATTAATGGTTTGTTTTTCTTTCTTCTATTAATCCTTAAAAAAAAGGAAATCAAATTCGTCAATATGATGTTAATGCTTTGTATTCTGCTCTTGAGGACGTTCGAAATGGAGTTAGCATATATAGGTAAATGTAATCAATGCATAATGACTTCTGTTAAGTTGTCCCAAATTTTTCAATCCCTAAATTTTGCCGAAAGTTTTCGGTAATGATACGTAAGACGTAACATCCCCGAAAATTTTCGGTCACTTTACTTGTAATTCAACTTGAGCGAAAGTTTTCGGCCGAAATATTTAAGTCAATTTAATTATTTTATGAGCTGAGCAGAAAACTTTCGGTCAAGTATCTTATTATTAATAACCTGACCGAAACTTTTCTGCTCAGTTCCTAAAATTATTAAATTAACTTAAATATTTCGGCCGAAAAATTTCGCTCAAGTTGAATTACAAGTAAGGTGACCGAAAATCTTCGGTCGTAAGTTTTCGGGGATGTTACGTCTTACATATCATCACCGAAAACTTTGGGCCGAAATTAGGGATGGAAAAATTTGTGTCAACTTCACAGAAGTTGCATAATAGGCATTTATGTTAATTGATGTTTTATCTGTTTGTTTTCTAAAGGGCTGCCCAAACATATAGGTAATATATGCCTTAATATGCATAGAAAAATATTTGTAGCTAAATTTCTCTTGATTTTAGCATTCCGCGCAAAACTCTCAGGAACTGGATGAAACGTTTGCACATTAAATCTCACTTCCCGATGCCCAAACAACTCGCCAAAGCTGCTGAAAAGAAGAAAAGCCTACAGAACAGCATTTTGATAGATGGAATGGACGGTGATAATCCCTTTAAAACCGAAGAAGTTGAATTCAAAACCAACATAAATTTTTGAAAAAGTCATTTAATTAATTAACGAGTTTTGTGTCTGTAGCCATACGCTAAAGTCAATATCAATTGTAAATTATTTTTCAACCAATACTTTTGTGTTGGATATTTTGAATTGATTTCTGAATAATCGGAAAAAAGATGGTACTGAATTTTTTTGTAATGATTTTTGAGTACGAATAACTGCAATTAATAATAATACACTTATAAATCCTATATGCTACTTATAACTCATAGAATAATATTTTAAGCTATAATTTGATGTAATGTTTGAAATATCGATATTATCTAGTCATTTTCTTTATTTTAAAGATAAATGTGCATACTTTAAGTATATAATTTTAGTTCCATTGATTAAATGTTCCTTATTTTTATTTTTATGATTTTATACAAATGATTTCAAAGCTCTTTAAGCTTTTGACTGAAAATTTTTATCATATATATTTATTTTTGTTCCAAAGAAGTATCAGATTTCATATGTGGCAATGTACTTTATGATTTATATCAGTGAAAAAATATTTAATAAAGAAATAATAATTTAAATTCATACTTTATCATGTTTTCGGTTATTATTGAATACTATATAGCATATACTTTACTCCCCTTAACTCAAATCATTGCATTGACTAAGCATTTAAAGTATTGCTTCAAAATCCTTTGAGAATACCAGTGCGACTTCAGAAACATTTAATATTGCTTTCTTCTCAAGTTTCACGATGAAGCACTTCAAAATGTTCAACATTTATAGGAACAAATCAGTCTGTTTTGTCGCTTGGAATTAGAATGTCTTCCTCGAAATCACATTATAATTAAAAGAAAATGAATTAAATTTATTAAAATTTTTGATAAAGTTGGTTTTGCGTAGATTTCAAGATGTTTAAATCATTATTAGTGCTGCTTTTTGCTATTATAATTTTATGGCAACAGAAGAACACTAATGGTCAACTCGGACAACTCGGACAGTCTATTAAAGGTATTTAAATAATTACAGCTTTTATTGAATCATATCAGACTTTAAATGATGAAATATTCCTAAAAACGAGATTTTAAATAAATATCTTATGCATCTCTAGATACATTTGCTGAGTTCGACTTACTAACAGCTGCCATATCAGATGCTGAGAACATCAACAGCGGAGGTTAATAAATTGAATAATTAATATATGAATGATTTATTCACAAAATTAATTACCATATGTGTAGGAGTTTCTTATGTTGAGGAGGCAAATACCCCAGCATTTTATGAACTGAAACCATATGCAAACTTAAGGAATCCATTCAGAATCATTTTCCCTGAGCGTTTAAAAAACTTTGCATTAATAGCCACAATCCGCATAACGAATAAATCAGATGGATACCTTTTTTCAATTGGTAAGTCTTAAAATTTTAACGAGATCGTTTAAATTAATTAATTGCAAGAAAAATTACAGTCAACAGTTTGGATACTATGGTTCAGGCAAGTTAATTATTCACTTTCTTATTATAGTTTTTCCTCAAATTGATTTTTAGTACCTTCCTAATGATATACCATCAAATATTTACTAACTTATTCCATTACAGTTTGGCTTAAAACTTTCTCAGACTCAAAGGAATTACATGAATGTTTCATTGATATATAATGATCCGCACTTGTCTCCATTGAACTTAAACATTCCATTCATTTCATTTCTCTTGCCATTCGAACAAATGAAATGGGTCAACTTTGCAATACAGATGGTCGATGATAGAGTATCATTTTATCATAGTTGCATTAAGATTGATGAACGGAATATTTCAAATGAGCATAAGGAACTAATATTTGAGTCATCTTCCATTTTCTATTTAGCGCAAGCAGGAAGTATATTAAAGGGTAACTTTGAGGTAAGTTTTTTGAATTATATGAATTATTACTTTTTGAATACATGCGGATTTCAATTGAATTTTCAAAGGTCAAAGATAAAACTTGAGTTATACATTCTATTCAAATTTTATTACTCAAGCCGTTCAAACATCTTGAAAACAAAATGATTTTTCACATAATTTACGCATCAACTGAAATCGATTTTGACAAAGATACTGAATTTACGGCAATATAAAGAACCACATTTTAACATTAACATTAGCATCACGTTGATTCATCGACCATAAAACATGCTCTCCTTATTTATTTGAATTTAAATGAAAAGAAAAAAAACTTCCAAAGCTTCCAAAATTCCAATCACATCCTTGCACAGGAGCAATGATGGAAATATTTTTAGTGTTTCTTAGGTCTTCATACAATCAATTTCAGAGAAAAAATACAATTTGAATTGAAAATTAAGTTTTATACAGTTTTAAAAAAATAATTAAAATATCATTGCATTTTAACAAATTCAACATATTAAGGAAGTGACAGACTTTAATGAAAGAAAGCAATTAATAATATTTTGTACAGTGTGATAGCTCGTCATATAGAAAAAAAAAATAATTTCTCGGTTGTGATTTTTAAGTGATATACATCTGCACAATACATTTCTAATTTCCTTCTAAACCTGCATTTTTCTCTCAACATTAATCTTCGCATAGAATCATGTAAATTTCATCATTATCAACCAAGCAAATTATCAGTATTATTTATCGTTCAATAAACTCCCGACTTATCTGATAAAAAAAAAAGTTTGTTTTCGACATTGAGATAATAAAAGAAATTATACAGCATTAGTAAAAGCTCAAATAAGAAAAACTAAAGCTCACGACAAAAATATCAAGTTTTCTTGTATCTGAAAAACATTAAGAATAGTTAAATTTTTTCAATGAAATTGTAGTTGTATGCTTTCTAAGAGAAAGTTCAATTGTAAAGTTAAGAAATAGAAACGAAATGCGCATGAATGAAAAAATATTGGAACTACAGACATATTGGAAAGTTTACATATATCCGTTTATTTCTATTCATACATAAAAATAAAAACATATCATTCTGAGGCATATCTCAATCAACAGTTTGCTTATAAATATAGTTAAAAAAGATACTCTTCATATGTACCCAAATAATGGCTATGGTAGGAACTGCTGACTAATATCTTCAAAATGCGAATGTCCCTAATGTTTTGTTAATTATACTATAAAGGTTATTTCGACTAGAGCTAAAGGTATGATAGGAGCATTTATATCATTGATTCTCTTATCGACGGTTCTTGTAACTGCATCGACAAAAGGCTGGTGGTTTGGATTAAATAAAAATAATGGAGAGCATGTTGCAGCACGAATACAGGTGACAAATGATTTATATCTGTCAAACTTTAAGCTCCGTTATATTTTATTTTTGTGGTTGAAATCTTTTTTTTTCTATCGTTATGCACTTCCAACAATACAGCAATTTACAAATATTTATCATTATTTAAGATACATAACATAACAATATATTCAACACATTAATATCATTTGATTATCTTTTTTATTGTTTTAATATTATTCAGGGTTCAATTCAGTTTTTAAAATTATATGATTATCCTGAGTTCGTTTCAATTGTTTGTAACAAAACTAATATTGCGGTGAGTTTTTAATTTCTCTTGATTCCATGATTTTACTTATTTATTTATTTTGACAATTAATGGAGCAACTTAGAGTACATTCACTAATGATGCACATTATAAAGTGGCATTATTAGAAACATTTGTGGATAGCATTTTAAAAAGGCATCATTTGTGAATGTCCTCTAATAACTTAAAGCATCAATGTATTACTAATATTGCACAAAAATATTCTAAATTTAGTCACTTATTGTCAACAAGTTCTACTTTTCTTAGGTTTTTCTCGAAAATTTCAAATGCTCGACATATTTTTCCATAAAAAATTGCACAACTGATAACCAATAACTAATCGCATTTAATTTTGTATATATCATAAATCTCAATAAATTAATCCTCAACGACTTTTAAAAAAAGGACGAATAAAATTTCTCTGAAATTCATAAGCAAGTGACATAAATTATATTTTCGTGCCATCTGTAAATAGCACAAAATTACTTTCAATTTCACTTTACAGGCAAACAGTGACAACGATTTCAACGACTACAGTAACGAAAATGAAAGTCCAGTTTTACAAGCACCCCCAGATTTTAAAAGTAATTTTGATTTAAATTTTTTCAACATAATCGTTTAAATTGTTTTGTTGATCATCCCTTTTTGCATTTAGATTACGGCTATCGTGTAACAAAGGGCGAAAAAGGTGATAGGGGTCCTAAGGTAATAATCAACTTAATAGTTGCGTTTCTATTGTTTCTATTAAAACTAATAAATTTATTCTTTTTCATAGGGATCCGCTGGTGATTCAATAAGGTATAGAATCAAATAAGACTCAAATTTATTTGAATTAATTTTAATTTTAAAAATTTAATGTTTTTTAAAATCCCACATAATGCCATTCTATTAGAGGTCCACCAGGTAAATTAGAACCTATTATAAGTTCTGAACAATAAAACTTAAGATACTTTATTTTATTTTAGGTCCACCAGGCCCAAAAGGCGAATGTGAAATAATTCAAGTAAATAATGCTAGCAATAAGGTACGAGACATGTTTACAAAAATATTTAAATATTAAAAAAACAAAAATGTACATCCCCAAAATAATTACTTTCAATAATACACTCGAATGACAAATTACTGCACTAATGAATAAAATTTCCAATTTACCAATTTAGATTGAGCATAAAATTGATGTAGCATCATGTAGTTGCAACCTAGACAATATTATGGACATTTTGCACAATGAAACGGTAAGAAGTATTTTAAGAGGACCTAAAGGAGATGAAGGAGTTCCTGGAAAAATCGGGCTTATGGGCCCACCTGGAACTAAAGGTAAATATTAATCATATGAATTTGGATGTTTTTTTAATGAAACTCGTTTCTGCATGAACTTTAGGTGACAAAGGGGAAAAGGTAAAGACTTGATTTATTTTTAAAAACTTATTCCTAAATGATAATTATTTTATGTAGGGTTCGGACGGTATAGATGGTACCCCTGGATTGCCTGGAACCCCTGGTGAAAACTATGAAGTAATTATATATTGACTAAATCAATTTTGATATACAAATCACAATATACTCACTATATGTATCCTAATTTTAAAGTCAAACTTATTTAAAACAATTAATTAACATTTCTTAAATTGTAGATTTAAGTCACAAATTTTATTTATTTAATTTACTATTAATTTTCAAGCAAATATTTAAGTTCCTTTATTTATAATTTTCGAAATACAATTAGAACCCATCTAATTGGGACTCATCATCTAGGATGTATAAGGTATTATTATTTTCAAACACATACATGTCCTCACTATTTTACATAACTCAAATTTTAAATTTATATAAAATTAAATCATTTCGTATGGTCTGGAGAACTTTACTAGCAAATGGAAATAATTGTTTTAATTCTTAAAAAATAAAATAACTCCACTTTGCAAGTCATATCTTCAATCGCTATACTTTAGGCAATAGCAAAATTTTAATCAACTTTCAAATCATTCATATAAGGAATCGATGATGTCAAACATACCAGGAATGAGAATGAAAGAAGCTCAGAAAGGTGAAAAAGGTGATATGGGTATGAAAGGACTCAAGGTATGGCATACTTAGCTTTAATTGATTTTTTCATTTATTGTAATTAAATTCATTCAATCATGTCATAGGGCGAGAGCATAAAAGGTGAAAAAGGAGATCCAGGTCTTTCAGCACCAATATATCCTGATGCCCAAAATTGCAGTTGTTCAAAAGGAGAGAAAGGATTGAAAGGAAAACGTGGCAAGACTGGCTCACAGGTAAATTACTAATTTCTTATTGACAGAGCACTAGGTTCTATGAGGCATCTTTATTTTAGGGCGTGAAAGGAGAAATGGGGGTTAAAGGAGAGAAAGGAGAATCCGCTCAAGGATTCAATGCTTTTGGAGGTTTGCTTGAAAAAAATAAAATCATTTGAATAAAATATATTTATTAATTCATAAAACCATTTTCACTAGATGAAGGTCTGAACTACCAAAAACCAATATTGGGAACAGTGACGTTTCAAAATACAGACTCAATGATTAAAGTAATTTTATGATTATGTTATCACAAGCAATTGTCTCAACAATTTTAATTTTATAGCAATCGTCGTCACATGCGGTTGGAACAATAGCTTATGTTGTAGATGAAGAAGCGCTTCTTGTAAAGGTCAATAAAGGTTGGCAGTATATTGCAGTAAGTCGTTATAAATGTTAAATAATATGTATGCTAAAATTTAATACCCAACTGTTCGTTTAAGCTTGGTACATTAGTTCCATTAACAACACAACCTTATGTTACAACATCCGTTTCACCTACTTACTCCTATGGACCGGTTGATTTTCAAGCCTCAAATCTTCTAAATAGCAATAATATTTTGAAGTCTCCTGAAAGCTATACTGTAACTATGTCTAATTAGTTTTGAAATATTTTTATTCAACATTGTCATTTCCAGTTTACAACTCCACCCGAATATGAATCTTGGAATCCAAAAATGGTGAGTCAGTAGTGTACTCAAATAAAATGTATTCAAGTAACTTGATTTTACTAACCCCATTAATCATTTATAGTTGAGATTGATAGCATTGAACGAAGCTTATTCTGGTAATCTTCAAGGCTTAAGAAATGCTGATTTGAATTGCCATAGACAGGCAAGACGAGCAGGAATTTTGGGAAACTTCCGAGCATTTTTGTCAACGCGAATTCAAAATTTGGACTCATTAGTTAAAATAGAAGACAGAGATTTACCAATCACCAATTTGCGTGGTGACGTGCTTTTTAATTCGTGGAATGCTATTTTCAATAATGCACAAGGAGGCTTCCTTTCATCTCCAAGAATACTAAGTTTCAGTGGAAAAAATGTTATGAATGATAATAATTGGTGAGCATCTTTACCTTTTATAAATTGCCCTCTACCTTTTTTACGAATTTTCATTATTTACGCAGGCCTCATAAGGTTGTTTGGCATGGTGCAAAAGCAGATTCAATAGATTCAAATTGTGACGGATGGCATAATAGTTTTCCAGAGAAAGTCGGCTTAGGAAGTAGTTTACTAGGAAATAAATTGCTTGCTCAAGGTTTGTTTATCAAGCATATTATGGCTTATAAGGAAAACAACTTAAAACTAATTATTCAATTTTCAGAAATGTACAGCTGTCAGCAGAAGAATATTGTTTTATGTATTGAGGTTTTATCACATGATTCCTCAAATCGTCGCAAGCGAGAGAATTTCGATGATACTTACGATATTGAAAAGTATGTATTCTCATGAGGATCGACATTTTTTTTTTATTGACAGTATATAATATTTCAATTGCTATTCGCATTTCATTCACAGAAGCATGCTTTAGAGAAAGAGAAATAATTCTATTCCTGGATTCCGATGTTTTTAAAATTGGAACGAGTAAATATGTATGACAAAATCGTTAAATGTCAATCTGCATAGAAGAATAAGAACTTTTAAGTTTTTACTGTTCATTTTTAAGAAATGTTATTTGAATAAACTGATTCGATTGTAGAAACTTTTTTTTAATATCTTAATGTTATTTTAAATGAATTATGAATAAAACAAATATTTAATATGACATAAACGAGCACTGATGAAGCCGTTTTCTTTAATTTACTGCCTAATTTCAATTACTCATCATGAAATTTTATTATTAGGAAAGTACACAGCTGGAACCAGCAAAAATACTTCCTGACATCACTTACGATTTTTTCTCGAGAAAAGTTGAGTCGACTCGAACCCTATCGACTTCGATCTTTCAGGGCAGACTATTAAATTGTTTGAAGAAGTTTCCGTTAAAGCATTTGGAGATAAACGTTTCATTCCTGATGTAGCATTTAAGTGCCCATTTGAATGCTGCTAGCGTCTTCAAGGTTGGTATATCGTTCTGTATGTTATTAAAGATGTTAACTCCAATGAACAAAATACTTTTCTTTCCACAATTTGTACAAGCTATCGAAGCACGCAGATTTACAGATTTCCTTTATTTACGACCTTTTGGAATATTTCTTTCTATGACAAGATTTGTGTGGATGCATTTGTGAATGTTACTGTATATATAACTTGCTGTATTGACATAGAAAAGTGTTCTAATCGACAGACAATTCTCTACTAGGTGAGTATACATATTTGTTCTATTCTCGAGTCTGTCAATTCCAAATTCGTTACGCAATGTTCTATTCTGAAGAGTCTGGAAAGGCTTGATAATGTTGTCGCATGCAGATCCATACAGTTGACTCATGTGGTTGAGTTGAGATTGAAATAATGCAAACTAGATTTTCTTTTTAACATCTTTTGGAGTTATATTTTTGAGTTTCCATAACGCAGCAGATGCAAAGCACAGCTTTTTTTCAACATGATCAATATGTACGTTGACTATAATTTCCTCAAAATCATTGTGCGTTGTAACAGTCTTATGGAACATCATAAACTTTGTTTTGCTCATATTTGGTATCAATCCCATTGATTCAATATATTGTAGAACTATTCTCATGTCAGATCCTATTTTAAGCTCAACACATTCTTTTTTCATATGCGTATTTATCAGAACTACATCATCTGCAAACAGAAAATTTTTTCCTTTTAATTCTTTTAGCATCCCTATTCCATTTATAAATAAAATAAACAGTAGACTTCCCAAAGTACTTCCTTGCACCACTCCTGACTCAACATAAAGCTTTGAACTTGTTTTTTTATTAATTTTCACGATCTGTGTCCTATTTGTTAAGTAGCTCTCGAGCAGTACTAATATTTTTCCTCTTATTCCATATCTTTGTAGCACCCTTATTAAGATACTTCTATACTCCATTAATTCGAATAAAGCACAGTTCATCTTTGTTTTTGTGGAGTTAATTTAGCTCTTTATACAGTTTCTTAATATTTCGGAGCAATATAACAACTGATTAATTATCAGACGTACCAATATTCTCCTCCATGAAGTATACCCCAAACAAATTTTTAACTTGCTTTTGTAGAAGAAGTGATGATACAAGTTGATTCAATAATACATTCCTATTGATGTTTTTACATATCAACACTCCGTTTTTGTAAGTTGCATGACGTAGAGATAATACTGGCATATCAAAGCTTTCCAAAATGCTTCCGTCACCTTCTGAACTGTATTCAACCATTTCACCAAGATAGATAGATTTGATTTATTACATCTTTGATACATCTTGAACCTTATTTTGACACCAGCCTGAATATTGCTTTAATTTAACTATATCTTGATTAATTAATAATTTAAATGAATGAGATTTACAAATTCATGATAATTAAGGCATAAAAAGTTTGAGAAAAAATGCGTAGTAAGAAAAAGTCTTATGGATAGACCAAGATTTGCTCAGCATAAGTTTGAAGAGTGGGCAAGAAGTACGGCCGAGACCCATATCGACACAGTTCAAAAGATATGCCTAATTTATGTCAGCTACAAAAACACTTAGTTTGAATTTTGTCACCCTCGGGAACACTATGAACCAGAATAGCTGATTTTGGTCCAAATCTCGGCCATACTTCACACTTATTTGAACCACATTTTCTCGTAAATGTTAAAATATTATTAAAAAGTAATTAATCCTGAATTATGTCGCTATTTTGTCAAGTGTTTTAAGATAAAAAATTTGTTTTTTGGTTTCCACAGTGAAGAGTATGAATAAATTTCAGATGGGGTAGTCGACATTTTAGATTTCGATTTTTTTTAAGCTATGCATTACAAAAAGTATTATTGGAATGTGATTTATGTCAGAATTATGTCAATTCAAATAAAACATCCAAAAAACTTTTTGACACAAGAACCAAGTAGAAATACATTTTTAATTATGAACTTGGGACAGGTCTAGTCAAAATCTCGTTTTTCACTTTTTTCCCTTCGAAGATAAATCCAAAGACAGTAAAACTTTGTATGAGCATTCTAATCCTCAGGTCACACATTTCTGAATTAATAAAAATCATTTTTTGGAAAAAATTTAAGTCACGTTGTTTTTATATGTAGAACCAAATTTATAAAATTTGGGTCTGACGACATATAGAATACATTTCTTGCTTTAGATATTAAAAACTGTTTTGTATAAATATTAGAATACTCACACAAATTTTCACTGTAATTGGATAAACCTTCGAAGAAAAAAAGTGAAAAACTAGATTTTGACTAGGGTCGCCCCTAGTCCAAAATTGAAATTGTATTTCCTTCTAGGTTCTTTGCTCAAAAAATTTTAGTATGTTTTATTCGTATTTGTTTTAAGCACTAAAATATTTTTGCAAAGTTTCAATCCATTTGGATAAACTTTCGAAAAAAAAAAAATGAAAAACTAGATTTTGACTAGACCTGTCCCAAGTTCATAATTGAAAATGTATTTCCTACTTGGTTCTTTGCTCAAAAAAATTTTAGGATGTTTTATTCGTATTTGTTTTAAGCACTAGAATATTTATGCGAAGTTTCAATCCATTTGGATAAACACTCGAAGAAAAAAGCGACAAAATTGATTTTGACTAGGGTCGCCCCTAGTCCAAAATTGAAAATGTATTTCCTACTTGGTTCTTTGCTCAAAAAAATTTAGGATGTTTCATTTGTATTTGTTTTAAGCACTAGAATATTCATGCAAAGTTTCAATCCATTTGGATAAACCCTCGAAGAAAAAAGTGACAAAATTGATTTTGACTAGGGTCGCCCCTAGTCCAAAATTGAAAATGTATTTCCTACTTGGTTCTTTGCTCAAAAAAATTTAGGATGTTTCATTTGTATTTGTTTTAAGCACTAGAATATTCATGCAAAGTTTCAATCCATTTGGATAAACCCTCGAAGAAAAAAGTGACAAAATTGATTTTGACTAGGTTCGCCCCTGGTCCAAAATTGAAAATGTATTTCCTTCTTGGTTCTTTGCTCAAAAAAATTTTTGGATGTTTTATTTGTATTTGTTTTAAGCACCTGAATGTTTATGCAAAGTTTTAATCCATTTGGATAAACCCTCGAAGAAAAAAGTGACAAAATTGATTTTGACTAGGGTCGCCCCTAGTCCAAAATTGAAAATGTATTTCCTATTTGGTTCTTTGCTCAAAAAAATTTTAAGATGTTTTATTTGTATTTGTTTTAAGCATTAAAATATTCATGCAAAGTTTCAATCCATTTGAATAAACCCTCAAAGAAAAAAGTGACAAAATTGATTTTGACTACGGTCGCCTCTAGTCCAAAATTGAAAATGTATTTCCTACTTGGTTTTTTGCTCTAAAAAATTTAGGATGTTTCATTTGTATTTGTTTTAAGCACTTGAATATTCATGCAAAGTTTCAATCTATTTGGATAAACCCTCGAAGAAAAAAGTGACAAAATTGATTTTGACTAGGGTCGCCCCTAGTCCAAAATTGAAAATGTATTTCCTACTTGGTTCTTTGCTCAAAAAAAAATTGAAATGTCTTATTTGTATTTGTTTTAAACTTCAAAATATTTATGCAAATTTTTAATCCATTTGGATAAACCCTTGAAGAAAAAAGTGACAAAATTGATTTTGACTAGGGTCGCCCCTAGTCCAAAATTGAAAATGTATTTCCTACTTGGTTCTTTGCTCAAAAAAATTTAGGATGTTTTATTTGTATTTGTTTTAAGCACTTAAATATTCATGCAAAGTTTCAATCTATTTGGATAAACCCTTGAAGAAAAAGTGACACAATTGATTTTGACTAGGGTCGCCCCTAGTCCAAAATTGAAAATGTATTTCCTACTTGGTTCTTTGCTCAAAAAAAAATTGAAATGTCTTATTTGTATTTGTTTTAAACTTCAAAATATTCATGCAAAGTTTCAATCCATTTGGATAAACCCTCGAAGAAAAAAGGGACAAAATTGATTTTGACTAGGGTCGCCCTTGGTCCAAAATTGAAAATATATTTCCTACTTGGTTCTTTGCTCAAAAAAAATTGAGATGTTTTATTTGTATTTGTTTTAAGCACTAGAATATTTTTGCAAAGTTTTAAACCATTTGGATAAACCCTCGAAGAAAAAAGTGACAAATTTGATTTTGACTAGGGTCGCCCCTAGTCCAAAATTGAAAATGTATTTCCTACTTGGTTCTTTGCTCAAAAAAAAATTAAGATGTCTTATTTGTATTTGTTTTAAGCTTCAAAATATTTATGCAAATTTTTAATCCATTTGGATAAACCCTTGAAGAAAAAGTGACAAAATTGATTTTGACTAGGGTCGCCCCTAGTCCAAAATTGAAAATGTATTTCCTACTTGGTTCTTTGCTCAAAAAAATTTTTGAATGTTTTATTTGTATTTGTTTTAAGCACAAGAATGTTCATGCAAAGTTTCAATCCATTTGGATAAACCCTTGAAGAAAAAGTGACAAAATTGATTTTGACTAGGGTCGCCCCTGGTCCAAAATTGAAAATGTATTTCCTACTTGGTTTTTTGCTCAAAAAAATTTAGGATGTTTTATTTGTATTTGTTTTAAGCTTCAAAATATTAATGCAAAGTTTTAATCCATTTGGATAAACCCTTGAAGAAAAAAGTGACAAAATTGATTTTGACTAGGGTCGCCCCTAGTCCAAAATTGAAAATGTATTTCCTACTTG